TTTACATGTTCTCCTAACAAGTAGCAGATCTCTATCCCAATTCTGGGTGGATAGTTTTATGGTTGCATCAGGAAGAGTGTCTAATGTAAAAAATCTACCAGATCAAACATGTAAACTTGTAAGTGAGGGAGCAGTTGAAATTAGCTCTGATAATGCATTATTTAACAGTAGCTAAGCTAAATTTTTGTGCTTACGTTTGACTTTACGCTCACTGGATGTGGTGCTGTGTCACTACTATTGCACTGTGTTGCTGCTACCGCTGGCACCTTGTTTTAGAAGATTTACATTTCAAATGAGTAAATTTGGCATCAGTAGTAGCTCATTGCAAAAGGAGGTAGGGCTGTTCAATATAAAGATATATATCGGATGACGATATAAAAACGTCTATCGTTTCCTATTACGCTATCGTTTGTTTCGTGGTGTCATAAAATAAACTGTTTACAGCAATATTTTTCATCGTTTTGAGGGTCACTGTAGTGGCTATATTAATTTCTTAAAGTTCTCTCTGTCTCTTATATTTAATATAACCACACTATGGCCGACAAGCGCCTGTTTTTACGTGTTGTCGTTAGCAACAATGACAGTAAAGCCAACGCGTGGCTCCACTGTCCGCTTGTTTGTTTTCCATGTAAACCTTTCACAATAAAGCTCAAGATCCTGTTGAGACTTTTCAAAATAAACTGAATCAAGTGAAAGAGTATGCAGAGAGTTTACGGATGAGAAGAAAAAAAAGAGCAGTCAGGTGCTAAAAAATAAACCTTAGACTCAAATTTGGAACGAAAATGGTGGCTGTTACAAACAAATGTCTAAAAATGTATAGTTTCATGCATCGGTTAAAACACTCGAGTCCAGGTAAAGGACGCCCAGCTGGAAAAACTTCACGCAAGTCGAGTTGCCCGAGATTCACAGAATTTACAGAAAATATAATATTTTTGTGATTTATATCGTTGTCAGGACGATAAATGTCTTATATCGGGATATTCGATTTCTCTCATATCGCACAGCCCTAAAAGGAGGATAGGAAATGCATTTCAATTATTTTACGGTAATAAATGCTGCTGTGTGCAACCATTCTGAAAATGTTCCTATATTTTTATGTTGTAGTGTTATCTTTAAAACATTAGTTTTTTGAAAATATCGTGACATCATTTTGAGGCTGTTTCCCCTCTCCTGTAGTGCATGAGCCCATCTTTTGTGCCCCTCCGGTGTGAGGCAGGCCAGTGCGGTCGACTGCTTTCTAGGGGAGACTCCTGCTCTCCCCAGTGCTCCCAGCTCACTCAGTGCTCCCAGTGCATTGCTAGGCCTCAGTGTGGTTGGTGTTCTCCTCACGGTGGCAATGGGGCTGGACGCTGCCTACAGGGAGGACTTGATGGTGAGAACAATGTTAAATGTTGAAGAAGCTGAGCATCTTAGCATGTTATGAGTGGGTTGTTTTGTTATTTATCTACATACCTCTGTTCCTTGTTTTTTCTGTCTTTCTTATTTTTCCCACAGGTGTGAGTGAGGGTGTTTGCCCTTTGACTAACAGCAGCTGGTCTTTTCTTCATTGTCCAGAGGAGGATGAATACGCCAACGGTCATCACAACTGTTCCTTTGGGAACACCATGCATTTGGGAAATGCATAGTGGGCATGCTGTAGTCTATGTTGTAGTCTATGCTGTAGTTCATAGGTTGTTGTTGTTGTTTCATAGGTGAAAACACCTTGTGTTTTATATGGGACTGCAACACATTTTTATCCTTTGCTCTCCCTTCCCACATACTTTAGTTTTATAAAAAACAGCACCTTAAGCCAAGATGGTGTTCTAACATCTGGCTGCAAAAGCACCAAAACCTATCACTGTGGGTCTCCTGCAGGCTAAATTGTTATTTGGTTTCCACGCTGCAGCAAAGTGGAGACATTTTTGTCACTGAAGATTTCAAAGGTTGTGCAGATTTCTTTGGATTAGGTTTAAAAGAACACATTTAACAAAAAATACATTTCTTTACATCCTTTTCAGCACTTGAAGGGTGTCCCTCATTTTTCCACACAAACAAACTCTTTGTCCTATATTTAGTTTGTTTGAATCTGCTCATCCTGCTCCTCACCAGATATTTATTGTTCCCTCCAGGACCACTAGAGGGCAGTACTTCAAAAAACTGAGTAGATCTGCTTCCCGTTAGTGATGGGAATTCCGGCTCTTTTTAGAGAACCGGCTCTTTCGGCTCACTAAAAAGAGCCTGCTCTTTTTAGTGAGCTGATTTACATGTTCTCTGGCCAGTGCACCGAACACAGCCTGCTCTTTCAGCTCCCAACTGGCTCTTACCTAACCAACTGGCTTCAACGTATGGAAGAAAATGCAGTCTCATGTGAAATATTGTGAGTATGTTACACGGTGGGATTTTGGAACAGTGGAACTGCCTTTATTGCCCGAAATATACACAAATTGTAGAAGGCCCCATTTTTACTTTGAGCCACCAGTTGGTAACATTCACGTGTGACTTTTGAAGACACACGTGCACTAGAGTGCATCTGATAGGCTAAACTTTATTATAAGAATTGTGAATGTAGATCAGTATTGCACTTCAGTCATTGCCTGAAAACCAGTGTTGTATGGACTGAGCTGTTCATCATGTATTTGGTATCATTTGACAGTGATCCAGATCCTCCATGAAAACTAAGCTTGAGCTTGAGGATGGCTATACTACAGTATTTCAGGACCGAATACAAAAATAACTAGTCTGTTTATTTATTTCAGACAGAAAGAAATGCCACTGAACCTTGGAATCAGTACATTTTAATACTAGTTAGTCTTTTCCTGCCAGCACTTAATAGTGGATGTTTGTAGTCTTGAGCTCTAGAACAGTGCATAGAGATTGTACATGACTTTCCTACATTTAGTACATTTAGCATATCTCTTCACAAGAAATTTGACCCCCATTGTGCCTTTTCTCAACCTGTGTGTGCCGATCCAGTGCTTTTCAGTTTCTCATGTAACAAAGTAGTGGTTTACATGTTCTCTGGCCAGTGCACCGAACACAGCCTCGCCTTGGCTGTCTTTGAGTTCAGACCTGGTCGGTGTGAAGGAAATCTCAGAGCGGCTGACTGTCCCCGATAACCCACAGCGCTTTGATCCCTGCGTCTTTGTCCTAGGTGCTGAAGCTTACACCTCCGGGAAACACAAATGGGATGTCTTTGTAGGTGACAACCCCAAGTGGATAGTGGGAGTGTGCAGAGAGTCATTGCAGCGTAAAAAGAAGTTTACAGTTGCAACAAACCGCGGTGTGTGGGCCTTAGGACTGAGCAAAGGGGTGTATAATGTAATGACGACTAAGCGTGAAGAGCTGCAGCTTCAGCAGCGACCTGAAAAGATTCGAGTCAAGCTTAATATAGAAAAGGGAGAGGTGTCATTTTGGGATGGAGGGTTAGGGAAGCACCTGGTCACACTTACATACAAGTTTGAAGGTGCGATATTTCCTATTTTTGGTCCCGGCCTCCATAGCTCGCCCATGGCTCTGGTTCCAGGAAAAATAGCTATACACATGTCAACAACCCAAGATAAGGTTATTGACGTGAAGATGCAAGATTGAAAATCAATGATGAAAAACTTTTAAAAGCAAGAGAAACTCGACAAGCCTTTATCAGTCGATCAGGGGCAACGAGAACATCAAAAAAA